TAGAGTGGTTCGCTGTCTCCTTCTCCAGCTCATTTTACAGATGAGGAAACTGAGGCAAACAGAGTTAAGTGACTTGCCAAGGATTACCCAGCTCGCAAGTGTCTGAGGCCAGATTTGAACCCACGAAGACAAGTCTTCTGACTCCAGGACTGGCGCTCTATCCACTGTGCCACCACCAGACTTTTCTGACCTCCCCTAGTTGTTAGCACTCCCTCTTATAGTCACTTTGCAGATTCTTTGAGTTTATTCATCTGTGTGCAGATTGTATACCCACTCCCTCCTCCAGTTTTGTTTTTGTCTCTGTATCCCCACCACCTGGCATAGTGCCTGGCACATAAGAGGCAATAATTAATCAGTCAATGCTTGAATTGAACGGGTCCTCCTTTAAAATTGTTCCAAAATGTATTTTTCACAACTTACCCAGATTTCTTAAAGCCGGGTAGAGGTCAGTTCCTTTGTTGGCTGGTTCATTCCTCCCTTCCTTAATTAATTCATTTATTTATTTGCTTGGTAAAAACTGTGCAGGCCAAGTAGATGTCACCGAATTGCACTTGAGGGTCAGAAGGGACATCACTGGATCTGGGTCAGATGACCTGGCTTTCATTCCTGTCTTGCTTCTTACTGACTATGGGACCTTGGCCAAACTCCATGACCTTCCTGGGTCTGTTTTCTCTTCAATAAAATGAGAGGGAGAATTGGATGTGATCTTACCGACAGGTCCTAGCTGTAGGCAATTATTTCCCAGCAGTAATAGTTGTAAAAGCAAACACGGGTACACATATGTACATATACACACATATGTATGCATGTGACTGGAACCACCCACGTGTTCAACCCCGGGCACTGGCTGACCAAACTTGGGTTGTATGAACCGACCAGAAGTGACCAAGCTAAGGAATATGAAGGACAAGTAGGGAGAGCAAATAGAAGTGATGAAGAGAGTTAGGAGCGCTGGGCGACATTTTTGTTAAAGTGAACAGACACATTTGAAAATCTGATCGTCAAGAGTGGAGCTTCAGATCCTTCGTTATTTTCTTGGTTTACCAGAACACTTGTTTTGATAGAAAATTACTAGGTTTATAATAGAACTAAAAAAAAAAAACAACTTTGAACTTCCCGGGTCATTCCAACAACATCATTCTTCCCTATCTTTGTTTCTTTGTCTTGTAAGTTGGGAATTTATGTAGGAGGTGAGATCATTTCTTATTTTTGGATAGGGATAACTAGGAGATGCATTCATTCATTAAAATAATTAATGTCTTCCATTTCTGTAGCCCAGCAGAGTTTTTGGGAGAGGCCAGCTCTAGACCTGGAGTCAGGAAAGCTCTGATTGACCTTGTACCTCTTAGCTAGGTGACTCAGGGGGAAGGGGAAGGAGAAGCTGTGGTGACCACAGGAATGGATGGTCAAGAACGATGGGGGAAGAGTCGTCTGCTTTCCTCTTTTGTACACGGAGGTATCAGTGGAGGATTGGATAAAGAGCCACAGTCAGGAGGATCTGAGGTCAAATCCTGCCTCTGATACATATTGGTTGAGAGAGCCTGGACTAGTCACCTGCCTCAGCCCCAAGCACTCCCTCATGTACAGCAGGCGCCCATCGGAATTGGCAGTGGGCATTTTCCTTACACGCCCAAAGAGTATAAAAGTAGTCTAACCTCCCAGTTAGATTTCTTTAAAGAAGAAATCTACTTATGTATATGCTTCAAAAAATCACTGATTATGAGTCACAATTCAGTTTGGAAGAAGCCAGCTTTGCAATACAAACAAAAAAGTGCTGCCTAATATCTGAACCAATCCTGAGATTGGGAGAAACTGAGAGATGAGGAGATGGGCCAGTGAGTTTCCCACAGGGCCAGGTGAGCTTCGAGCCGGAGACAGCATCCAAAGGGCAGCTGTCTCTGGAGCCTGCAGGTGGGCAGGCTGGACAGGCCCACTGACACCTTCTCAGAGCACAGCTTTGGACTGGCCTTTCCAGTTGGCACTCAAAGGTCCCCTGATAATAAATGTGGTTTTATCCTCACTTTTTTTAAACCTCCTGCTGTGAGTCGGGGTTGTTCTGAGAAGGGGAAGCATATTTCTGGTTCAGAAATGAAGGGAGCAACCTTTCCTATTGAAGGAAAGCTCCCCACTGTCCTGCTGGCCTGTGGAATGGAGCTCACAGTGCAAAGCGTGACGGTGCATTGGGCGTCAGAAGGCTGGGCTTCCAATCTCGGCTCCCCACTCCCTGCCCGTGACCTTGGCCATGCTGTCTCCCACTAGTTCACTTTGCTCTCCTGTTACATGAGGGGGGTGGATTAAGTAATCTCCCAGGCCCCTTCCAGTTCTAAATCTGTAACTCTTTGTTGTTATTGTTCAATGATGTCCAACTCTTTGTTTTCTCATTTGGGGTTTTCCGGTATCCAGAGATACTGGAGGGGGTTGCCATTTCTTCCTCCAGCTCATTTTACAGATGAAGAACCTGAGGCAAACGGGGTGAAGTGACTTGCCCAGGGTCACACAGATAGGAAGTGTCTGAAGCCAGATTTGAACTCTCCTGACTCCAGGTCAGTCTCTCTATCCCCTGCGCCACCTAGTCCCACAGAACCTAGAGTGGGAAGGCCCCTGAGACATCACCTAGTTTAACTGCATTATTTTGCAGATGGTGAAACTGAGGCCCAGAAAGGAGGTGGGGTCACTTACTCAGGGACTAAGTAGCAAAAGCAGAATTGCGACCTGGGTCCTCTCTGTCTAAATAAAGTCCTCTTTCCCAGGGGTCCACCTCAGAGATTTTTAAGGTGGGGTGGGGGAGGGGCAGAGGACTCAGGCTCAATCTCGGTTCTGTCACTCACTACCTATGAGCTTTGGGAGGGAATTTCCTTTCTCTGGGCCTTATTTTTCTGGTCTATAAAACAAGGGGCTGGAGTAAGTGTCTTTAGCTCTAGAACTCTGGGCCTCCCTCCCCTCATCCCAGGTGAGTAGAGTGGACCAGGGTGGGTTCTGAGCCCTTGGCCCAGGGCCAGAGGCACTCAAATGGCCAATAAAATACACCTGCCTTTTGCTTTCACCTTCGGTTTCCTAGGCAAGCCTTTGTATTGTATCGTGTGTATTTAAAAACCGGGCCAGGGCAATAAGCCTCCCCCACTGACTGCCCAGAGGAGAGGCAAGTCTGGGACACACAAAAATAACTGAGTCCCTGGAAGGGAGGGACCTGGGCCAGCTCAAAGGCTGGGACGGTGGCCTAAGGCTCTCTCATACCTGAGCCCCGTCACCTTGGACAAGTCACTCCACAGGCCCGTTTCCTGCTCCTGGCACAATACCTGGCACATAGTAAGCAACTGAATAAATGTAATAAGCATTAATAATAGTGAGCATATTTTATGCTTACTGCTACTACTACTAATAAATGAAGGAATGAATGAAGAATGATCTTCCTTCCAAAATTAAGGGGTTCGGCCCCTCTAGAGCTCCATCTAGGATCCCAGGCCCAGGACTTGTCCCTGATGCGACTTTGTCCTGACATCAAGCCTCGGGGCCTCCCCCACTCCACCCCCACCAGGGTCCGTGCTATCTGGGCTAGGCTGGGCTGGGGGTGGTGTAAGCACCTTCAGGGCTCCTGCCTGCTGAGGGGGCTGGGCTGGCTCTGGGTACAGAGCCGGCCTAGCTTGGCCTGGAGGGAGGAGAATGGGGCCGGGCGCTCAGACAGTCCGAGGCGCTGGGTTTCAGGCCTCCCTCCCTAAGGCCAAGGGCGGTGGCCGGAGCCCCGGCTTCCAGACTCGGGGAGGGTGCCCACTGGCCATCTGGGTGCTTGGTCGCCGATGCGCCAGGCTGTGTGTGTGTGTGTGTGTGTGTGTGTGTGTGTGTGTGTGTGTGTGTGTGTGTGAGAAAGCTGGAAAGAGGGCCGGGGGATGGGGAGACGGGCGAGGACGGGGGCAAGGGCTCCAGTTCTTGGACTCCTGGGTCTGGGGGTGGGGAATAAGGGAGGGCGCCTGCACACCCAGACCCTGGCGGTGGCGAGCTGGTGAAGGCAGCCCCCGCTCCCGGGCCAGCGCGGGCTCTGGAGCCCAGGCAGGGACCGAGGGGGCGAGGGACCGGGGGTTGGCGCCCCCCCCCCCCCCGCCCCCGGGGGCCCGCCTCTCCCGATCGCCCCGCCCAGTCGGGGTGTCTGGCCCGGGCTGTGCCCGCGCGCCAGAGGGGGAGGAGTCGCGCGCGCGGCCCGAGCTGCAGCTGGGCTGGATTCCACCAGCCTGGAGGAGCCGAGCCTTGCCCGGGAGCCGCACAGCAGCACCCGCGCTCCGGCCGCGCTGCCCGCGGGCAGAACCGACCAGCCAGCCGAGCAGCGGGGCCGCGGAGGCAGCGGAGGCAGCCGCGGCGCCGCCCGAGAAGCAGCCGTGCTGGGCGGCTCGCTTTGAGCTCCCGGGAACGCACCGCGCCCCCGGGCCTCTGCGGAGCCCGCCGAGCGCCCGGACTTGAGCCCGCAGAACCAGGACCGGAGCCGAGCGCCCGGACGTGAGCCCGCAGAACCAGGACCGGAGCCGCGCGGGCAGGGGGCGTGTGCCGCCGAAGGACCGGCCCCCCCGCGGTCCGGAGAGCCGGCCTTTGGCCCGCGGAGTCGGAGGCGCAGCGCCCGGCCACGTCCCTGTCTGGAGCGCTATCCAGCGGGAGAGGAGACCCCCGGCACCCGAACATCCCCCCCCCCCCTCCTCCCCCCTGGCCGGGAAGGGCCCCCCCCCCCCCGCGCATCGGATCCGAGCCAGGGCTCCCGCCCCGCCCCGTGGACCACAGGCAGACAAAAGCCGCCGTGACAGGGAGCGGCGAGCGGCCGGGCGGAGAGAGATGCCCCTGGAGTCCGGGCTGGGCTGGGGCGCCCCGGTTCGAGGGCGCTGCGGAGGGCCCTGAGTTCCCCG